AGAGAGAGAGAGAGAGAGAGAGAGAGAGAGAGAGAGAGAGAGAGAGAAAGAAATAATTAAATTTAGAAATTAAAGAGGAGGCATTACTACCATCCTCACATGTAAAACTATTCACAGAAGAATAATATGCAGAATGGCATGTTAATATATTAGATAATGTACATGAAATGGACAAATTCCTACAAGCAAATTGCAAAATCTGACTCAAGAGAAAATAAATCATACTAATGGACCTAGTACAAGTGAAGTGATTGTATTAACAGTGAAAAAACCACTAAATAACAAGAAAGGATCATGTCCAGAGACTTTAATGATAAACACTATCAAACATTTGGAAATTTACCATCAACTGTTCCCGAAGTCCCCCCGAGATGACCGCTGCTTTTCCGCTCACTGCCTGCATCAGTATTACCATGATACCGAGATTCTACAAAGACATTACAAGCAAAGCAAAATTCAGAAGAATGTATCTTATGATTATAGTTGCAAAATTTTGTAAAAATATAAAAATAAATAGAACCAAGCAACATATAAAAATAATTATACACCTTGTCAATGTTTCATATATCCCAGGAATACATGTTTGGTTAATAGAAAAAAAATACATAGTATTATGTAGTATATCAATAAATTAATAAACAAAGCCACAAGACATTTCAATAGATGGACAAAACGAATTTGACAAAAGCCAAAATCCTTCCATGAAGAAAACATTCAACAAAATAGGAATAGAAGGGAACATCCTCAAACTGATAAAGAGCATATGAAAAACCCACTGCTCACACTATTTTTAGTGGTAAAAGTTCACACGCTTATTTTCTAAGATTAGAAACAAGATAAACAATCCTCCCTCAACACACCTTTTCATCATTGTGCTACACAGAAAAACTGGCAACAAGTAAATAAAGGGAATCTAGATGGGAAAGTACAATTTTCTGTATTTTCAGTTGACATGTTTTCGTATGTAGAAAACCATAAGGAATTAATGAAAAACTGTTAGAGTTCTGAAAAGTAACAAAAGACAAGATCAATATACAAAAATCAATTGTATTTATGTACACAAAAAGAAATAATAGAAATATAAAATTGAAGAAACGATTCTACTTACAATAGAATCAAAATAAAATCCTTAGAAATAAGTTTAACAATAGAAGTGTGTACTTGAACAGGTAAAGCTACAATACATGGCTAGTGTGGAAACACTTAGGTATCAACCCTGAGCCTCTTCTCATTGGGGGAGAGAACTTTACTTTCACAGGGGAAGGAAAGGGATTGCATTATTGGCCTTTATGTTAATAGAGGTGGGCTCAGGGTGAGGGCTGCACATCCAAATGTGTATTACTGTCTCCATTTTTATGGACTGGAGGCAGACATACAAAGAGAGGGAGTGACAAACTGTATCCAGAGTGTGAAAGATCAGGCAGCGACTCCCACCACCCAATCCCTGCCAATCATCCTGTGTTTAAAGGATTCCCACATACCATACACAGAAGCGTTTAAGACAGAGGCGTGGGATTTAGGAGTTCAAGGTGTGGGTCTATAGATCCTAACGTCTGAGACAAGAAGGCTGTGGGAAGATCAAGGCTGAGTTCCCTAGATCTGCAATTAAAATCACTGAGGGGAAGTTGAAGAATCAAAGAAAACAGAGGAATTTAAACAAGGCAGAAAATACATTGGGAAAAGAGAAAACCAGGGATAGGTTTTAGGCATGACCGCAGCCTCCCAAACATCCCATCCACACCCCCCCAATGTTGGCCCTTCTGTTACTCTGCCCCACATTCTAACACTCAAGCCCATGTCAACTCTGATTACTCAGGCTAGGCATTTTTGCTTTTTTTGTGGTTTTCCTTTGTTTGTTTTGTGGCTGGCCAATAATGGGATCTGAACTCTTGATGTTTCTGTTATCAGCACCACGTTCTCCCAAGTGAGCTAACCAGCCAGCGGTAGTTCCTGTTTTAAGAGAAACTTCATCATAGCAGAAACTTTGATAAACCCGTGTAATGATCTCCTTGCCTGTTTTGCTGCAGAAACCAGAGAAGAAAAGGCAAAGTTTATGGCCACCCCCACCCCACCCCACACACACCAAAGTACTAAAATTTTATTTAATAAAAGGACAAATGGGAATTTCTGGGCAATTAATTATCAAACACTGAAAGTGTAAATTGGCACAATTAAGAAATGCACCTACCCTGTGACCCTGCTATTTTATTTCACTATACACTAGAGCAGTTTTTTTAACTGTCTAATAGAATGCATTGAGACTCACAAATTAGTTTACCAGATGAGAACAAACATCTCAATGTTTTTTTTTTTTTTTTCTTTTTCCTTTTTGTCTTTTTTACTGACCGGCAACGGGATCGCAACCCTCGGTGTTGTGCCTGCACCGCACTCAGCCAGTGAGTGGGAACCGGTCTCCACATGGGATCCGAACCCTCAGCGGGAGCGCCACTGCGCTCCCAAGCAGCGCACTCTCCAGTGCGCCACCGGGCTGGCCCAACATCTCAATGTTTTGAAAGAAAATAACCATGTATATTTTTAAAAGTATGTGGGATCCGAACCCTCGGGCGGGAGCGCCGCCACGCTTCCCAAGCGGCGCACTATCCAGTGCGCCACCGGGCCGGCCCTTATTATTTCTTTTTTTAATTGAATCATAATTGATTATACATATTTTTTGGATTCAATGTTGACATATGTGGATCAAACCAATATTACTAGCATGTATTTTGTTACAAATTGTACTTATTCTTTATGCCCCTTGTCCAGTCCCCTCCTATCCCTCTTTCTCTCCCCTTCTCACCACTGATAACCCTAGATTTCTTCTCTCCCTCTGAAAGAATACTGGTTACTCTGTTGATTTGTTGCCCACCCGATCTGTCCAATGCTGAGAGGCGTGTTCAGGGCCCCCAATATTATTATAGAGTAGATGCTTCTTCTGTCACTCTGGAATTTACTTTGTGGAGAGAGACATCCTCTTCTTTTCTTGGTCTCTGCTGGTGACTCTCTTTGTGTCAATGCACTCCACTGGCTGGCAAACCATCTGCAAATATCTAACCACTTTTGCAGCAGCTGTGATTACTATGGTAGCTGTGGTAGTCCACCCACATGGAGGTGATATTTTTGGCATGCTCCTTGGCCCTGGCAGTGTGCCTGGTGGTGGGGAGGGTACCCCATCCCAGGATTCATACTCTAGGCCCTGGGGCAGCCCTGAGGTGCTGGTGGTGTGCCTGGTCTGGAACTAATGGCAGCCCTGAGGTGCTGGTGGTGTGCCTGGTCTGGAACTAATTTTTTGCCCTTTGCTTACTTCTAAAATGGTGGAACTTCCTGTGGGAACCAGTACTTGAGCTGTGTGCTTGAGCTGAATTGCTGCTTTGCGGCTGTTTCCGTAGGGAAGACTTTCTGTGCAGTTCAGGGTTTAATGGTTGGCCTTTTAGGTACTTCTGGCTCTCCAGAGACCCAGTGCACCTGGGTTGTGTAGAAACTCTGATCTGGGCATGAGTCTTTTCATCAAACTGCACCCCATGCAATTCAATATTCCTTACCAGTCTCCTCTGAGTGGTCCTGCACTGACTCGAGGGAGGATTGGCTGTCCTTGCTGTGTCCCAGTGTTCTGTCAGTGGGCCCATCTCCCCCACCCCCTGTGCTCCAAACACTTCCCATGTGATGGGCCCTGTGCTGGTCCCTTGCAGTGACTCTCCTGCTTCTGAACGGCTCCCCCTTTTCAGCTATTCTGGCTCCTTGCTCCTGCGTGGGTCCACGGGAGCCCTGTTAGTGGTCTTGCTGTCCTGAGGGCCACCAATGTCCTCTTCTCCCCTGCTGCCTCTCAGCAACTCCATCCAAAAGGCACAGCTTTGGCTTCTGCTGCCTCCTGCTGCATGCTCTTAGCAGGTCCAGCCTTAAAGCCGCTGTGGCCCAAAACGCTATGAACAGTTTTTTCTTTCTCTCATCATGGCTTCCCCGGTCTTCATGAACTCTGTAGTTCTCTCTTCCTCTTCCCCTGAGCTCCCCCAGCCCTAGTTTGGCTGTTGTTACATTTTTATAGCTGTAAATTGGTTGATTTGTGAGAGAGAGGGATGCTGGGAACCATCCATTCTGGCACCTTAACTGGGACTCAATTTTTTCATACTTTAAAATGCATGTATAAAAATAGACATGGGTCTATAATGGCTATATCAGGCCCCCATTTGAATTTCCCCATTACTCCCACAAAGTCTCAAGTTGTCAAACAAACATCTAATAAAAAATCAGAATTCCACATTTGTGGAATAGAGACTAGTCTATTGCCTGGTTGGAGACCAGTCGTGATCTAACGAGGACTGATCTCCCGGTAGCAGTAGCAGTACTCCGTGCAGGGTAAACTTTTAAAAATTTCTCGTTTGTTTCCTAACGTAAAGCCCCACAGTATTCTGGGAAATGTAGTCTCACTGACCACTAACTGAACAGGCACAGGAGTATAGGTCTTTTTTGTGTTCCTTCTGCGCATGTGCATCCTCGCTTACCTCGCTATATGGGAAATGTAGTTTTGCCTTGAAATGATGTCACCCTCACAGGAGTCCTATGGGACAGTTTTCAGGGTTTCTACTGCGCATGTGCAGCTCCGCCCACTCCGCCATCTTTTGTGTGGAGATTCCAGACGCTTTCGCTGTTCGTAGCGCTGCTCCTCAGATCCTGGGGTTGGATTGTGCGTCCCTGAAGGTGGGTGCGAGGGTGAAAGAGGAGCCCGCGGGCCTCAGGGGCCCTGGGGAGCGGGACGGTGTCCCTGCACTTGGGGGCAAAAGCGCCGCGGGCCTCGGGCGGGCGGGGCCTGACGTACGGCGCGAGCGCGGACCTGGGTCGGGGAAGGGGCACCTGGGCTGTGCTTTCCAGACGGTTCCACATAGTTCCATCAGAGGACGGCGCTGCCAGGTGTTCAGAAGCCGGTTCCAGATGTCCCAGGATGGGGGCTCAGGTCTAAGGTGGTGATGGGAATGTGGGTGGGGCGTGTGAAGATGTTACCTGACTCAGGTCCGGCTGCCCACCCTTTTGAAAAGAAAAGAAAAAAGCTCAGAATTCAAATAGTGCGTGTTAGAAGAGCAGGTGTATTCAGCTGAAGGAGTCGGCAGGCTACCCCATCTCAAAGATTTACATTTACTGAGGGGTTTTTAAAGGAAGGTTTGAGAGAATGGAATGTGGGAGGAGAGCAGGAGATGTGAGCTATGAGGGGTCCGGGTATATGGGTCGGGTACAAGGTGTCACCGAGGCCTCATCTGGTTTCTGTTCTCATCTTCACTGTTATCTCAGGACCCTGAAAGATTTTGATTTGTGCTGGTTCACTTGGCTAGTGCCCAAGGTCAGTTTCCAGTCGTTTGGCCTTGATCATTTCTCAAAACTCTACAAATCTCATAGAAAGAACTGTTAGCTTTGCAAAGTAATAATTAGCTTCTCAGCCTTGTTTTCCTACTTAGCGATTGAGATAAGAAAGCCAAGGGATGGGAAGCAAGAGTGGAGAGAAAAAAACTGTCCTTTTAAAAATCCCCCCCCCCCCACCCCCCCCCCCC